CATGGCATGAAAATGAAGAAAAAAAAAATCTTTCCTTCAAAACTTTAGCCACCTAGGATGATCAGCTTATAAATACAATATAAATGAAAAGCACAAAATACAAGTGTTCAATTGTTAAACTGCTTTAGGCTACCCCCAACACTCAACTCTGTCTCCACCAAATTAAATAAGACCGAAGTCATGTTTTGTTTCATTTTGTTTTGTGTTTCTATTTACACCTAAAGGCTTTATTCACGGACACCTGGGTGGCTCAGTCAGTTAAGCGTCTGCCTTTGGCTGAGGTCATGATCCCAGCGTCCTGGGATCAAGTCCCACATTGGGCTCCTTGCTCGGCAGGGAGCCTGCTTCTCCCTCTGCCTGCCGCTCCCCCTTCTTGTGCTCGCTCTCTCTCTGACAAATAAGTAAAATCTTAAATAATAATAATAAAGGCTTTATCCAGCCTACATATGTTTCAACTGGTAAAACAGTTTTGGAATTTTAAAATTCATCTTTAACATTTTTTTTTTAAGATCTATTTATTTGTGAGAGAGAGAGTACGAGTGGGAGGGTCAGGGAGAGGGAAAGAGAATCTCAAGCGGACTCCATGCTAAGCACAGAGCCCGAGGCAGGGCTCAGTCTCACAACCCTGAGATCATGACCCAAGCCCAAACCAAGAGTAGGATGCTTAACCGACTGTGCCACCCAGGCGCCCCTTCAACATTTTAAAATCAGAAGATTTCACAGAAAACTCCAAGAATCAGGTTTCAGATCTACAAATGTCCAGATTTTTCCTCAATACAGAAAGATTTGGGATATCCCACGCACATTCCTGCATGGCAAAGTTGGCTAAAGCCGTACCGGTACTTCAGATGTGCTGTGTGTCCTTGGTCCACCACCTTCCCTTGCGGGCCACCCTCACTCAGGTCTTTATTTGGCTAGCCCCTGTAGGTATTGAGCTTACAAATCCCTTTAAGCTCTGTGCAAAATAGATATTTAACTATTGTTCATTATGTCAAATGAAACTTGTGATCTTAAAGTCCAAGGACACTTATACTAACATAAATTTGAGGCTGTCATCCCTGCTTTACAAAGGTACCTCTTTTATTATCTTAGGACCTAAGATCTATATAGCACTCTTGGCACTCAGCCGTGCAACTGATGGTGTGTGTGTGTTTCTAAAAGCTATACATTTGATGGAGAGATGACTTGACTAGGGTGGCAGCCGTGAAGGTAAGTGAGAAGTGAACAGATCTGAACTGTATTTGATGGAAGAAATTGTTTAGAAGGGCAGGTTCTGGGCGTCTGGGTGGCTCAGTTGGTTAAGCGACTGCCTTCGTTCGGCTCAGGTCTTGATCCTGGATTCCTCGGACCAAGTCCCGGATCAGGGAGTCCGCCTCTCCCTCTGCCCCTCCCCACCTCATGTGCTCTCTCCCTCTCTCACTCTCTCTCTCAAATAAATAAATAAACAAACAAACAAATAAATAAATAAAATCTTAAAAAGAAAAAAAATAGAAGGGTAGCTTCTTCAAACCTGCAGGGGAGGCTAAGAAGGGATATTTTCAGCCCTGCCAGCGAGGAGGAAAGTGGGAGTGGGGAGGCTGTTGGGTAGACAAGCCAGAGTTTACCCCCAGGGGATGCTTAAGTCCAGGTTGTAAAATACGACTTCCGGACATAAAGCAAACCTTGCTTGGGAGTTTTATTGCATTTAAGAGTCCACTGTTGTAAATCATCTGAACTTTGGGCTGCTAAATTCTACTTCGTTTCTGGTCTCCCTCATCTGGGAAGCATCAGGGAAAGAAAGCACTGTTAATTTAAAAATATGCCCAAAACACCTTCCATCAATGTCACCCTACTCTGGCACCTTAGTTAAAAAGGCAAATTTTAAGACCTAACACTTTTCTCTTTCCTTACCTTTAGCACCCTGTCCAACAAATGGCATTAAGAGTAAGGAATGAAACACCTGAACAATTCATGATTCATTGTTATTGTTGTTTTTTACATTCTGAGTAATTGGGCTGAAGATTAAAAGCCAGAATCAGTATCACTACACAGGACTTCATAGTAAAGATAACCTATCTATCAGATAACCCCATTTCTGGGCTGGCTTAATTAGCTTTTCTCTCACATCCTGAGTGCTTCAGAGATTATAGCTCATCGAAGGCATGAATTAACCCTTTTTACCATTTTGTTTGCAAAATACTTGACCACCCCTGCACCGTTTTCCTAATATTCCAAACTGACTCCAGAATTATCCTGAATCTGAAGGCAGATGCATGATTTCAAATGATGAGATTTTATTCTTACCTGGACAGGGCTACCTCCTGTTACATATGGAATCCTAAGATACAACATATAAAAGCAAAGAAATTTTCTCCTGGGTAGAGCAAACTGGGCTACATACCTGACCTCAGGCTCTGAGGGGCCCCTCTGCTGCTGTAGGAGGGAGCAGCTAATTAAAAATAAACAACCTTGAAAACAAATAATCCCTCCTCTCCGATGGTAACGGTCTCGGGAGATTTCCTGCCCTTTTTTGACCCCCCTCCTTGGCAACGCTTCTATTTACCAGCTGTGGCTCACGTTGAGAACTTATTTCTCAATTTCCTTGACCAAAGTGGCTCATTATTAACTGGACATTACCTAGGTAACACATCGGCGTCAGAGGGCTCCTAGGGATTTCACTCTGGGTTTCCTTCCCTAGAGAGAAGCCTGCAAGCCAAGTGCATCGGAGTACATTTCTGCATCTGAAATCCAAGCTCTTCTCATCCGGATGCTTACGGCATAGGTGAAAACATATAAAACATGTACAAAGTTTTTCAAAAGTGAAAACATATAAAACAAGTACAAAGTTCTCACCAAGAATCAGTATAGTATATTGCTTAGAGCATGGACTCTCTAGCCAGACCATCTGGGTTCAAGTTCCAAATCACATAGTAAGCGTCCAATAAATGTTAGCTGTTATTTTCACTTGGAATGAAAACCAAACTTCTGGTCTACAACCTACTTGATGTGTTCCCAATCTCCATAAACCTCACCTTGTTCTACCTTCCTCAACTGTTCACAACCCACATGCCTCTTCCGTTTCTCAAACATTATAAGTTTATTTGCCTCAGGGCCTTTCCACTTGTTTTTCTCCCAGTTAGGGAGGTTCTCCCAAGTCTAACTGGCTCCTTATCACCATTTAGATTCTGGGTTTCATGTTAACCCTTTTGCAAAGAGCTTTCCTCTAATTAATCTATCCAAAATACATCCCCACCCCAATACATCAGTTTCATTTCTTTTATGACACTTAACACTAATTTAATTTGTCTCCCCCATTTACATGTAAATTCCAAAATAGGAAATCTCTTGGTCATCTTTTTTCTTGTTCATCTTTATCCCAGAGTTTAGAATAGTAACTGGTACACTTGATGTCTGTTAAATGAAAAGGAAAAAAATATATATATATATCCAGTTAAAAATCCCATCTGAATGTAAAAAAAAACTGGCCACAATCCCCAGAGAAAACAAAACTTCAAAGAATAGAAAAATTTGGATCCTGTAACAGATACCAGTCATACTGATATCCCAACTTTTGAAAAAAAAAAATCTTTCACTAATTTGAGAAAATGCCAGATTGGGCTCTGTCTCCCGATTGCAGATGTCAGGACCCAAATTCCCAGACGCTCTTGCAGGTAGGACTGAGGCATGTGACTAGGCTCTCCCTACCAGACACACCTCAGAAGACTGAATCAGAAGAGCAATCGACGTAAAGCGATTCTGCTTTCTGTCCCCCGAGCAGTGGCTAAAGTTCTGAGCTTTCCGGGAGAGCAGTAAGACTATGCTAGCAGTTTCCTCTAGTGCTAGATGGGGCAGCATAGCATACAAAGTGTTCTCAGGTCACTTCTGTGCATGGTTTGGGGCATCACTCCTGGAATTACAGCTTTAAGGCTGTCCACAAAATTCTCAGAAGCACTGTCTTACTTTAATAAGCCCCTTTCCCTCTTAAGCAGCCAGAGTCGTCTTCCGTTGCCTGTCCTATTGAGAACCAAGTTTGCAGGAACTACCGAAACTGCTTAACTTTAGGACGTCAGCCTTTAGAATAGGAAATAGTTCCCATGTCAGTCCCCTTTGTTTCTTCGTATGTATCAGAAGTGGCTTTTGTCCTGGTAGTAAGAAGCTGGAACACAAGCCAGCCATCTTTACTCTCCTCTCCTGGTCTCGGTCATTTATTTCCACAACTCCTTGGGAAAAACAGTCCAAGAAATCTGCTCCACCTTTACAAAAAAGGTTGAGGCATACCCATTCAAAACATGGGTTACAATGTTTCACAGTTAAAAGGTAAGGACTATCCTAATTTTGCATTTGATTGTTAAATAATACCATCCTTTTATGATAAAATAAGAGTCTATATCAGAGGTTGCAAACTGAGTAATCTGACCTGCAAGGGTTTTGTCTGGTCCACAAGATGTTAAACTTAAAAAAACTGCAGCCAGAAATACAAAGACTTCACATTTACATCTGTGATTTCTGAGGATTACAGACCCGCATCCCACAATCAGCTCTGAGAGTGGAGGCCCTTTTGACACAGCAGGTATTCTTCAAATTGCCATGGATACCGACCAAATCTTTGCTTTTAATAATGTATAGAAGTTATACAGACCTGCCATTTCATGAAAATGTTAATAAGTAAACATAAAAACACCTACATTTTGTACTACTATAAAATATGGGAATAAAATACATGAAATAAAATAAAAAAGGCAAATTGAAGGGAAGAATTGGGGAGTGGTTTGGTGGGTGTCAAGGTTCAACCAAGCAGGATGGAAGGTTCTGTGATCTGTTACACACCATGTGCACGTGGTTGACAATACCGTATTTTACACCTGGAAGTTACTGAGAGGGGAAATTGTGTGTGTGTGTATGTGTGTTGTGTTTTGCCACCAAATAGAATCAATGTGATCCACTGCATCAACCAAAGAGAAAAAGGCAGCATGTAACGCAGAAAAAGCACTTGATGAATTCAACAAAAACTTAGCAAACTATAAAAGGAAGGAAATTTCTTTAATCTGATAAAGGGCAGTAGCTACACTAAAGCAGTAACAAGTAATATTGGTCAAAAGTTTTTCACCTGAGATCGTGAAGGACGTAAGAATGCTCACTATTCCACTTTAATTCAACATTGTACTTGGTGTACTTGGCCAGTAAAGCAAGAAAAAAAAAATAACAGATTGGATTAGGAATAAAGGGCAGGGGAGAGCAGAAGTTTGGGACTTAGGCTTGAGGATTCCAAAGCAAGCCAAACCACAGTATACAGTGTGTACAATACTGTAAGAAATTTTTTTCTTAAATCAGCAATTTATAAGAGAAACTGACAGACTACAAAGGAGGTTTCCTTTATCTTACTAAATATCTCACTCTGATACTAATTCAAATACTTAAAGTCATTTACATTTTAAACATTTCTGTAGAATATATTCTACCATTTGAAATAAAGACCCAAACAATGTCTTAAACAATAAATTGACCTTAAGTATATCATCTATGATCAATTCAGGAAGACTAAGTTTACTACACCTTTCCAAGCATAAAAATACACGATTTAAAGTACTTTTTGATTGGGGGAGGTGGGAAAAAAAGCAGAACAGAGAAATGACCTGTCAAAACACAAAATCCTGTCACTTAACATTATAACTCACATGTTCAAGACATCTTTCAAGCGCTGAAAACACCAGATAGTTCTCAGAAACAGTATTAAAACCCATTAATAACAACAGCATCCAAGACATTACAACAAAAAAGCCCTTAATAAAAAGGAGTCCATGTATTCCGTTATTGGACAAACCCAGTCTCTCCATGCATTCCTGGGGGAAAAAAATGCAAATAAATGTATCTTTTGGGTAACATGGCAATCCATATCTGCCTCCGGTCAGACTCTCCCATCCCCCTCAGTACTGCGGAAATGTTCCATCAATTCTGGCAGCCCACGCCATGAGGCCCCCCACAACATCCTGAACTGTTAAAGATTCTAACTCCTGGACTGCTGTCAAGGACTGCAGGATCTTCACGGCTTTCTGGGAGTCATTGCCAAGTTTGCAAATCACATAAACTGGGAAAGTTACCCCTTCCTGTGTGCCCTGCTTCCCTTCCCGGATTGCTTCCCCTAGGAGTTCCAGGCTCTCCGCATTCCTCCGTTCCAAATGTTGCAAAGGGATGTGTAGGGCATGGGGCAAACGACAGATGTCCACCTCCACTTGAGGCCTGACGTCCAGCAACAGGTGGGGTGAGCCTGAATCCAGAAGTCGCTTATAGTCGGTGACCGAAACTCGCTCCTCTGGGCTCAGCAACTGCAGCGAACGGCACTTCTCAATGGCTGAGGAGCCACAGAAGGCTTCGTAGTCCTGCAGGTCAGTCACAGTGGGCCGCTCGCCGCAAGCTGCACAGTCAGGCCTGCGGCTCCGAAGCTGAATACAGCGAAATTGTCCTCTGAGGGCATCAAAGATCAACAGGCTGCGACTGTAAGATGGACCCAGACCTGCGGCGATCTTCAATACTTCCAGCGCCTGCAAGCAGCCCAGGACCCCAGTTACGACACCGAGCACGCCGCCATCCGCGCAGTTGGTCACTGTCTCCGCTGGAGGTGGTTGGGGGAATATGCAGCGATAGCAAGGCCCGCCGTCATAGTGGTACACTGTGATTTGGCCCTCAAAGCGCAGGGCGCTGGCTGACACGAGAGGCCGGCCGGCTAGCACACATGCGTCATTAACTAGGTAGCGAGTGGGCACGTTGTCAGAGCAGTCAGCCACCACGTCATAGCGGCGGATTAAGTCTAGCGCCGTGGCTGGGGTAAGCGCCTGAGCATAGGGCACGCACTCCACCGCAGAATTGAGGCGGCGCAGCGCGGCGGCGGCCGAAAAGACCTTGGCTTGGCCGGCCAGCGCCTCGCCATGTAGCACCTGGCGGGCCAAATTGCTCACTTCTACGACGTCATAGTCCACAAGGCCAAGGCGGCCGACGCCGGCCGCTGCCAGGTACTGCGCCAGTGGGCAGCCGAGCCCACCGCAGCCCACGACTAGTACGGACGCGGTGGCCAAGCGCAGCTGTCCGTGCACGCCCAGCTCAGGCAGCACTAGCTGCCGGCTATAACGCAAAATCTCATCTCGAGACAGGGCGGCCTTCGGCGGCAGGGGCGACACCGGAACCAACCTCCCTGGCTCCTGCTCCGCCAAAAGAGCCGCCGCCAGCCTCTGCTTCAGAGAACTTAGCTCTTCCTCACGCCGGGAAACTTCCGCCTGCAAGGCGAGCACCTCCTCCCTAGAAGCCATGGCGCCTCTCTCGGAAGTTGTCTTGAAAGGCATTTCCTTTTCCGGCTTAGCGTCTCCTAGCGACTGGAATAAACTAAGAAATTTTTACGGAGCATAGGAAAAAGTGATAAGTAAACATGTACTTCCTGGAGAAACCCTCAGATTCAACTTTAAAGATTCACAGTGCCTGGATATTTCCAATGGAACCACGAAGAGAGCCTTAGGTTAACTAGAACCTAACCACATAGCCTGTACCCCCTCTTCCTGAATTTGGTACGGTCCGACCCGTCCCCTTCCCGCGCGCCGCGTGACGTCATTCCGTTTCCGGCGTCTCGCGCAGTTCCGCCATGGCCTCCGAGGAAGCGAACGGTAGTCCTCGTAGGTCTCGGCGTGAGCCGGAGGGGCGCGCCCCGCGACAGGACAAGTATTCAGTGCTTTTGCCCACCTACAACGAGCGCGAGAACCTACCGCTCATCGTATGGCTGCTGGTGAAAAGCTTCTCCGAGAGGTAGCGTGCCCGGCCGCCGTCCCTGAGGAATGAGATGAGCTGGCTTCGCCGGCCTGGGTGTCGGCAGTTGGCTGCGCGAGGCGGCCCTGCGCGGCCTCCCTTCGGCTCTTGAGGGAATCCTTGGGGAGAAGTCTACCCTTGGAGAAAGCAGAGGCGGATACTTCTGGGGTTCTGCCCGTGTCTCGGGTTCATTCCTGCCCTTGGGTTTTGTAAGACATTCCCTTATTGTACACTTCCCACCACCTCTTTCCCCCCTCCCCCCCAGCTACCCTCCCCCCCCTTTTTTTTAAAGTAGGGTTGGGCACCATTTCACTTGGAGCGAGGTTCAAAGCTTGACCTCACTCCTACTTCTGGATGGTCAGGATGCGGCAGGAGCCGGGAGTCTAAATGAGCACGCTCACTCCCGCCCCCGTGCTGAGTGCTTATGTAAGCATGAGGTTTGACTCTGTGGGTTAGGGAGCTGCTGCTGGGCTGGGCAACTTCGTTGGTCACTAGTGGACGTTTGATGTGGTTGTTAGAAACTAGGGCTTTTAGAGTTTGAAAGTGTTATACGATATTTTTAAAATTTCGGAATATCCTGGTATCAGTACGAAGTTACTTGTTTTAGGGTTATACCAATGGGATCATGTATAGATCCCTGAAGATCTTTCCAGATCAACATACACCAACTTAGAAAATTATTATTTTTTTAATTCGATAATATTTCATATGACTTACAATTTAACTGGGTCATCCCAGTGAACACAGATTATTTCTAGAGCTTTTTTTGTTTTTCTTTTTTGACTTTTGCTTTATAAATGAAAACAGACTTTGTTCACCCCATATTTTCCACCATTTAGAAAAGTGCTGGACCCGTAGTGAATGCTCCTTTAGAAGAATGTTGCAACAAACACATTCATACTTTTACTAGTGTACTGGGGGTAAAGTCTTCAGGATGGAATTGGCGGGTCAACAGATGTGCTTAAAATTGACAGTTATTACCAAATTGCTCGCAAAAAAAAAAAAGATTGTACCGCCTTAAGATGGGCATTATTCAGAGAGTGCTTGTTTCCCCACCAACCAGCCAACCGGGCCGTTAGTAAACTTATATTTTTGGAAATGCTAATTGGTGAAAAACATGGCTGTTTTGACTATAATTCTTTGAATGACATAACTATTATAATGTGCATGGCTCCTCACAGTTTTTTTTTTTTAATTCATATCTTTTTCCTCTTTAGTTATCTTCTTCTTTTGGTTTCTATAAGCACTTTCCACATGAGAGAAATTGTCATATAGTAAATCTTGTTCAGTTTGTCCTCTGAGTCTCAAATATTTTTTGCTTTAACCCGAGTGAAGTTTAAAGAAGGAAATGATTTTCTTTTCAGATGTGGTCAAATTAAAGGCAGCTTAACTGGATTCCATTAGACTCCCTTACCCTCAGGTGTTCTGGGCACGTTGAAGTGAGAGAAAGTATAATTTGCTATTAAATGACTTCATTTGTTTATGAAGTATATCTCTTTCAGCATATCAACCAGAATCAACATCTTACATATTTTGGCTTGTAAAGTAGTTGCCCAAATTAAAGCATCTCAGGGAGCTGAAGTCCTGGTATTTCCTCTTAACAGGCTAAGTTTAGCTTTCTTCCTAATTTGCCGGGCCTGACTTTTTTAAGCCTTTAACAGTGCAATGTGTTTTCTGGTTGATTTCCTTATATTTGTTTTTAGTATGGACAAAGAGGAAACAGTGTTGTGGGAGTTTTGCTGTGCTTTCCTTTACTTTCTGCTTCTTAAGTTTCCAATAAAATTATTAAAAAAAAAATCTAAAACGACTTGGGGGAAAACATAGTGATAACATATACAACCAAGTATTGTGTTCGCTTGTTCTTAGAATAGAAACTGTAACATAAAGTTAATGGAGAACCAATAGAGAGATGTTCATTTTGAAGCACGTTGAAATCTTATGTATTTCTCTGCTTTTTGTATGTAATAGTGTGAGGTAATGGGTACAACTATTTGAAATAGTGGTGTTAAGAGAGTATGTCACCATTTTAAAGGGGTTTTTTAAAGGATGAAATGAAATCTAATTTGTTCCTTGTGTTATTTCAATCTATTTGGAATTTAAAAGAATACTCACTCAGCAATTCAGTCAACTTGAGAGATCTTTTAAATGTACTTTTGAAGTATTTTTTATAACCAAGATTGATATTAAGGTCCTATAATTCTATTTCCAAATAGAATTCCAAATTGTACAGCAAGGTAAGTAAAATTTTATGATATTCGTATCATATATAATATACAGTAGCTATGATTTTTTAAATTCGAGTATGTTTTCTGTGTGAGAATTTTTTAACATCTCCGGACTTCATTACAGCATTTTTCAGCAACACGCTGAGTTTGGAGATGAAGTACTAAATGACATTTATTTCATTTGGTAATTGAAGTTTTCCTTAGTGATTAATATGACAATAAATTCCCACTTATACTGAGGAGGAATTAGTAATTTTAAAATTATTTTTTTATTTTGAGAATACAGTCTCCAAACAATACAAACTTTCATTTTGTTTTTTATTTTAGTGGAATCAATTATGAAATTATAATCATAGATGATGGAAGCCCAGATGGAACAAGGGATGTTGCTGAACAGTTGGAGAAGATCTATGGGTCAGACAAAATTGTAAGTCATGTGAACATTTTTCTATCATATCACTTGTGTTTGTTTGGGGGAAAAGATGAGAAATGGCAATGCTTAAATTCAGTCTATTTTCTGGAAACTGAAATGATAGAAAGCATCTTATACACTTGGGATTCAGGTGCATTTTCATTGTGCTTGAAGTTATACATGACTTTGATATGTTGGATCAGTAGTAATTGTACAGCAAGGGGCACCTGGGTGGCTCAGTTGGTTAAGCGTCTGCCTTCAGCTCAGGTCATGATCCCAGGGTCTTGGGATTGAGCCCCACATCGGGCTCCTTGCTCAGTAGGAAGCCTGCTTCTCCCTCTCCCTCTGCCTGCTGCTTCCCCTGCTTGTGCTCTCTGTCAAGTAAATAAATTAAAAACTTAAAAAAAAAAAAAAAAAGTAATTGTACAGCAAAACAGCTTTTACATAAACTGTTTTTACAACTTTCTCTGCAGATAAGTTCTCTTGAAGGGCGAAATTAAAGCATGATACTGAATTGACAAGGAATATTACAGAAGTAGATTGCAATTAATAATGTGTGTCTTGATCTTTCTGCCTCCCTTTTTTGCAACTATAAAACCTTGTAGTGGGGGAGGGTGATTGTTCCATGGAAATTTGGCATCTTTTTATTTTTCAGAGTACTTAGCATCTCCTTACCTGTAAAGCAGTCTTAATGGGAGTAGATTGACTTTCCAAGTCTTAAATTTTCCCACGTACTTTGAAGGGTGTTGTTTTTCTACTGGAGAAACTTAGATGTAGAATTCATTTTATAATGACTTTATAATTTTTGTTTTTGATCACTGGTTTATTTTTATAATGGTTTGTATTTGCAAATGTTTGAATATACTTGTGAGCTCAACTTTAGATAATTCTTGGGCCAAAAGCATGCAGTTAAGTCCAGATTTAATTAGAAAACACATTCTAGGCATTGGGTATTTTATAATATGTATAGACTAGAGTTTCTCAGTCTTGGCACTGTTGACATTTGGGACCTAATAATTCTTTGTGGGGGTGGGGGGGTGTTGCCCGGGCGGCGGCTGCATCCTGTATTTTAGAGCACATGTAGCATCATCCCTGGACTCTTACCCACTAGATGCCATTTGCAGCCCCTCTCCCCAGGGTGGCAACCAAAAATGTCTGTGGGTATCATCAAATCACTCCTTATGGGCAAAATTGTCCTCTTCTCCCAAAAGAGAATCATCGTTATAGACATAAATGAAAGAAGTCTCTTGGAGAACTTTGTTGATACTTGCATTTTAAGAAAAGGTAATTAAGCATTATAAAAAACTGTCACCAGGTACACATATTCTTGATTAATCCTGATAATGAAATAATTCCTATTCAGTTGAAGGAGATAGTGGTCAATAGGAAGAGTTTAAGGGAAACGTGTTACTCTTATACACATGGTAAATCTTTTCTCTGCTAGTTATTCTTTCCATATCACACATGGGCAACTCAAGGATTACACCTCCAATCCTCTGAATATCTCCTGATATACAGGAGGAGATTAAAAATTGACAGATTTTCAACCTGCTAGCAGTGACTTCTGATGATGTCGGGTTCATTTTTTTAGCCACCAGTTCCCCAGTTTTTCTTTTAGAGGTTGTGAGCCAAGGCACTGACATTTGTTATTATATAGAATACTCTGACTTATGTGTTATTTAATCTGGGAACATCAACCTGACAATATTTTGAACACTTCTGTCATAGACTCCATTCAGCCTTGAGGTGTAATTGATTGATCGATCTTAGGCTATGTCTACTAAATTGACCTTTTCAAATTCTAAAACAACGTGGCCCTCAGAAAGTTCCATTTTTCCCATCAACCCAATAAAATTCAAAATAATGAGAAAAAAATTATATTCACCATTACGATTTTCCCGTACAATTAGCCTTTCTTAGCTGAAGACTTATTTTTATCTTCATTCTTCTTTCAACTTGTTGGATTTGAGAGTATGATAAAAACAGGTCCACTTAAATATTATGGATCCTAGGCTTCCTAAAATGTCATCAAGATTTTCTGTGACAAAAATTTTTTATAAAATAAGGTTTTTGTCAAAACAGATTATAGCATTACAGGAAGTAGCTCATAAACAGTGTGGTAAGTGTTCTTCAGAGTGTGTTTGCGCACACTTTGTGTGAGTTCCCGCCGGCTCTCCTGTTGGCTGTGAGACGAGCTCTGTCGTGCCCTTCACTGCTTTCTGCCATCCTTCCTGACGTGAGGCCTCAAAAACGGGAGGGGCTGGAACTAAGGATTTGAAAGTAAAACAATGGGTACTTTTTATTGCATAAGAAATTAAAAACTACATTCTTGTTAGAAAATGAAAAAGTTGCTGATAAAACTGAAGTTGCCTTTGATGAGCATTTCGTGGTCCACCTCCTAATCTCTTCTCCAGGGGACACCCCAGTCAGCAGCTTGGTGTGGGTTGCCTGAGACCTTTGTGCATGTATGTGTACGTGTCTACGTTTGTTAGAACTAGGCAATATGGTGTTTTTTGTTTTTAAACATAAATGCAATCTTTCTGTATCATTCTGTTGATTTTTAACTGTAGCTGAAAGCTCTTTTATCCCTAAATTATCTTTCTTTTAACTGTTCCATAGTACTCTATTATATGCAGCATGATTTAATACTTTATAAAAACTTGAGAAAAAAATATTTTTCCAACTGAAACAGGTTTATAGAAAATCTAAGGTGAACTTTATTTTTTTTTTTTTAAAGATTTATTTATTTATTTTGAGAGAGTGAGAATGAGAGAGAGAGAGTACATAAGAGCGGGGAGTGTTAGAGGGAGAAGCAGACTCCCCGCCGAGCAGGGAGCCCGATGTGGGACTCGATCCCGGGACTCCAGGATCATGACCTGAGCTGAAGGCAGTCGCTTAACCAACTGAGCCACTCAGGCGCCCCCTAAGGTGAACTTTAAAGGATTTGTTTTTTTCAGGGCAGATACCAGGTCAATATTTTGCCAGTAATCATCAGTCACAAAAATAAAACCTGATACATCTTGTTTGATTTTATTCAGTGAATTATAGTTACTATACATGATTGTCTAGTTCTTTTGTATATAAGAGCTCATTGAGCAGGAATGTATTTTATCTTTGTTCCTCCCCAAGACCTACAGCAGTTTGCATGAAGTTTAAAAAAAAAAAGTCTATCCTGGTTGAATTGAACTGAAAATACTTTGTTTAGAGATTTGCAGTCTGAGCTGGCCTGCCTATACACTGGCAAATGCAGAAGGGGATAAAACGGGCTCGGTAGTGAGTCTGTTTGAGCCCCGTACCTCAGAAACTTAGAGTCCAAATCCTGGCATTCTACTTTTTCAAAAATTTCCAGACAAAAGAAAAAAGCTAAACAAGAAGTCAAGGTTTATATACGAAGCAAAAAAAAAAGGTAGAAAAACTAAGTGATTGACAAAAAGTAAGAAAAGAAAAAATTTAATTTTCTTGTTAGGCGTATAACCCTAAAGTCATGTCATTGGGCCAGTAGAGAATGTAATGAGGTCTTCCAAGCATAGAGTCAGGATACGTTGATGGAGTGATGTCAGCATTTAAAATCAACCAAGGAATCTAGAGAAAAAAGTGTGCATACCCTTTCAGCCAGTGGTTCCACTTTTGGGATGCTGATTACAGAAATGACAGGACCCCTACAAAAGGATATATGTACAAGTATCTTTATTGTAGCAATATTTGTAATGGCAAATACCTGGAACCAACCTGAATGCCTTAACTAATGAATGACCATATATTGTCTGACTTGTAACCGTAGCCTGTATTATTTTTGTAACTAAAAAAAAATAAAAGGGAATCAAGAACATAAATAAATAATAAAATCACAAAAGAGATTGAGAAAACAGACGTGGCTATCAAATACTCAAAGAAAGTATAAGATGAGTGAGTTAAATCCTTGATTTTCTTAGGAGAAGGAATCAACAGATATTGTTCAAAATGGTAAATCAAGTAATAGAGGTAACATTGTTTACGTGCTGTTTTCTGGTGGATAGCACCAGAAAAAAAACATTTAAAATTTGACCTGCAGGGTTGGGGTAAAAGAATGTTGTTTTTCCAACCTGTTAAACCATTTGATTTGTTACTAAACACTTTTTTACTTTGGCAATAAATGTTAAACATACTCTGCTGTAAGTTCTAATAAATGCAGCTGTATTTCTGTTAAAAGGAGTAGACAGCTATAAGAAATTTTTTATTAGTGGGATTATTTTTGTATTTGTGTTAAAATGCTTTTTTTATTCTTGCAGCTTCTAAGACCACGGGAGAAAAAGTTAGGCCTAGGTAAGTAGAAACTCTCACCCCTCATACTTACTTCTTGCACTGGTAAGGTTACCCTGTGTGTATTTTCCTAATTTGGAACAAGGCCAAAGTACAGTGACCACCTGTGATGGTTTTTAATGATTTTAATGACATGTATATGGTTTAACCTGAGTTGCCTGTATCAGTCAAGGTCCACCTGGGAAAACAGAAACCACTGTCAGTCTTTCAATATAGGGAATTTAATACACAGAATCTGGTTACACGGATGAAGGAATGCTGAGAAGCCAAATGGAATGGAACAGTGAGGCTACTCAAATTAGTAGTAGCTAGAGGTTGCTACCACCCCTAGAATGGAGCAACAATAGGAGGAGATGGTGTTTTTGGAGCCCAGGAACCCAGGCTATTTAGAAGGGGCTAGAATGATGGAGTGGGGGATACCTGGCAGGAGCTAGAGCTGTCAAGGATACCCAGTCAGTGCTGGGAGGCAGAGTAAGAGGGGGGACACACTTACACTTTTCCTTTTCTCTCTCCTGGAAACTGTCCCTCCTGCCTCCCAAAGCCATCTGACAACCAGTTGAGGAGAGCACCTGGGAACTATAGTTCCATGCAATGTAGAACAGAGGCAGGGCCAGAGAAGGGATCTAAGGGCAAGTGTTTTGGAAAACCAGCATGCTGCGTTAGCTGTAACTCTTTGAACATTTCTTTATAAGTAATGGCAAAATGTAAAAAGTTATTTATTTTTAAAAAAGAAAACTTTTCTAGCTTTTAAACATAGGGGGTTATAGAAAATCTCAGATGAACTACGCCTGCAGCAGAGGGAATGGCGGGAAGTCATTCTGAGATGAGTATCTCAGTGCCTTTATTTCTGATGCTGGTTACAGCTGCTTATGTTGAGAAGTGCTATAATTTTACTGAAAAATTGAGCCAGCATGGAGGAAACACGGTTCTTAAAAATTGAGTATTTGCTGTCTTGAAGATCATCAGTTCTCGGGCATCATCAAGTGTTCTGAATATCTGAACCCAGAAGTTCTTTGGGATTGAAATAATCTGGAAACTGCCATGAAAGCAACCAGGAATTCCTGACCAGTCAGTGGAAATCCAAAAAGCTGTGATCCTCACTTTTTAGCAAAAGTTAGAAGAGTTCAGCCTTGCTAATAAGACTATGGGGTTTGGAACTAGGGAACTTTTAGGCATGAAAGTGTCTAAGTAATTGCTGGCTGTGCCTTTAACCCCAAATACCAGACCCATCTAGTGTACTAGGCTTACAGTGTTGACTGCACTCAGCATTGTGGAAATGGGCTGGGAGTGATGGGAAGAACAGAAGCAGGGAAAACACTTTTAGGTAGAGAGGTGAGCATCAGAGGGTGGTGCCTGGGACTAAGGTGAAGTTGCAGAAGAAAGAATGGAATGGAGAGATGTTTTTGATTGAGAATAAATAGAATTTAATTATAGGTTAGTATCACCTTTACGGGACTGATGTATGCTTTTCAGATGCTTAATTTCTTCCTTGTTCATGTGTATATTTAAGCATTTCTGATGGCTTTCTTTAATGGATATATTTTCACTGTTAGGAACTGCATATATTCACGGAATGAAACATGCCACAGGAAACTACATAATTATTATGGATGCTGATCTCTCACACCATGTGAGTGGTATCATTCTTTATTAGCTATTCATGATAGTCTAAGCCTATTTTACTGACTTAATGTTTATTTTTTCTAAATTTCAGCCAAAATTTATTCCTGAATTCATTAGGTAGGTATTTTTAATATTTGAAAGAATTACTCAAATCATTTATCCTATGTTAATTTTAGACTTATTTTAATTTAAAAATGCACATGCTATTTTAAGTTTGCTGTCAGAAATGAAACCAAAATAACAGATCTGAGGCTCATGACTATAGATCTGTGGCTAAATGATACATTTTAGGGACTAATCAAAGATAATTACTCCTTTATTATCTAAATTCTCCCAGACTACAGGAAAAGATGGAAGGTGACTTCCCTGTTAAATGGAATTAAGCTCTGCATCATAAGGGTAAAACACCGTGAACAAATAGGGTTTATTCCAAGAATGCCAGAATGATTCATCATCAGGAATTCATCCACATAATTTATCACATTAGCAAAGAAAGCAGCATGATTAAGTGTATAGATGCTAAAAGGTATTTGATAAACTGTACTAGCCACTTCTAATAAAACTTGGAAGTGGAAATAAAAGGAAACCACTTAAACTTGATAAAGACAACCCAGTCCTAACACAAAAATCTTACTAAATGGTGAAATGTTGAATCATTAATAAACGCATCAAGATAGGAATACCAGCTGTCGTTGTATGTGGACGTTTTAAGTGATGTAAGAACAAGAATTTAGTATGAATATTGAGTAAGAATACAAAATGGTATTTATTTGCAGGCAATATAGTTGTATTTTTAGAAAATCCAAGACAACATGAAACCTCTCAGGATAAGAATTTGGAAACTGTTAATGTAAGTTCAATATACTAAAACAAAATTAAGTAATGTTACTCTCCTGTTTCAATCACTTCAGCGAGTTCTTGTTAACAGATGGGAAGAAACTCTTTTCCTTGCCCCTCAAACCGCTATTTGATCTGGCCCCTGCCTCCCTTTCTGAGCTCATCTTGTGCCTCTTCCCTCCATTCCCTCTGCTGCAGGTGTACTCCTTCTATTTCTGTGTCACACGGAGCGCTGTGTTCTTTGCTTAAAATGCTCTTTTCCTGCTCCTTAATAGCCAGCTACTTCTCATCCTTTGATCTCTGCAACAAAGTCACCTCAGCGATACCTTCTCTGCTTGTATATCTAATTCCCAAGAGCCCTTTGACCTGAGAAGGAAATGGAACCAGGGGAATAGAAAATGGGTGAAAGATACAAACGGGCCATATGTAGAAGAAAGACCAATGGCTCATAAGCCCGAAGGAGGACACCCTGGGGGGTGTTGTCAGGGAAACACGAAGTGAAATAAGTGTGGCAGTATTTTATTACCCATTAGTTTGTCATAATTACAAACTTAAAGAGCAACACATCTAGCACCAATAAGATGGCGGGAAGTGGACACACACAAATCTAGCTGGAGGAAGTGTGAGTTGCTACAACCTTTTTGGAAAGTAATTTCTGGTGATACCTGTTCAAAATACTTGTAAGCTTTGTTTTAGCAGTTCTCTTATGTTCCACTCTGTGTTGTCTAAGCACCAGGATGTAAGTTTATGAGAACATTGCCACACTATTCATTGTGGTTGTGTTGTTGGGGGTAGGGAGACCCACCATGAAAACATCCATGCAAGTATACAGGTCCAGTGTTCCATGGGATATTTAGAAGGGGAAATTCTCTGTTGACCTCCAGGGGTGTCATGATTCCATTATGTATATTGTTAACTGACAAAAGGCAAGTTGCAGAATATACTTTTTTGGGTTCCAATTTTGTTAAAGCAATCAGAATCCCTGGGGTTATGTGTGTCTTTATTTTTCTGCAAAGAGAAAGGTCTGGAGGGTTACCAGGCTGTTTTAGCACTGTTTACTTATTAGTAGGGCCAAGAACAGAATGGAGGGGAATTACATTTTAGGACGGTTTCACATGGTACAATCAGCAAATACTACTATTTTTTAGCTCTAGAAATTAATAAAGGAAAAATACCAGGTTTGCAAATCTTAACGTTGAAGGATTTCTGAGTGGTATCGTTCATTTGTTTTCTTGGCATTGTTTTTCCTATGCAAATCTTAAAAGTTCTTTTTGTGTAGCTCATGAAAATAACTATTGAAAGCTCAATAGCTTTTTCTAATTGACAGCTAATTTATTTTTTTCTGCAGGAAACAGAAGGAGGGTAATTTTGACATTGTCTCTGGAACTCGCTACAAAGGAAATGGAGGTGTATATGGCTGGGATTTGAAAAGAAAAATAATCAGGTATATACATGTGCTGCAATTTGTCTAGTTTTTATTATAACTACTGGGAATATGTTTATGATGGGTATTTAGATTACATTATCATGCTGCCTTGGGATTTCTGGGATTAGATTGTTAACTTCCAATATGTACTCACAGATAGGTCCTTGTGTACAATTTTTCCTATGATCAAAGTATTTTGGATATTTTTCACTAAGGAAAAATCAGCATAAACCTTTGAACCTTTGTTAGAAATGGTCTAATTCAGCAAAATTTATTCTACTGTATCTTCAGCTTTAAGTGAACTATTCATCTATATCTTGGGACTGAGTAGTACACACACACACACACACACAGCAAGCCCATAATCTAGGGATGGGGAAGGAGAATCCACTTCTTGATGGGAAGTACGTACGT